AACACTTTAAAAATTTTTTGGGGAACAACAGGCCTAAAATTTTTTAGAAGTACGGCACTAAGATTTTTTGGAAGGCCAGGGCACTAAATGCTTTTTGGGAGAACAAGGATAAAGAATTCCTTTAAACAACACATAAAATTTTTTTCGGAAACCTAATTTTCTGGGAAAGACAAAAACTAAAATTCTTTTGGCGGAGCTACAGGCACTAAGAATTTCTTCTGGCAGAGCAACAGGCACTAAGAATTTCTTCTGGCAGAGCAACAGGCACTAAGAATGTCTTCTGGCAGAGCTACAGGCACTAAGAATGTCTTCTGGCAGAGCAACAGGCACTAAGAATGTCTTCTGGCAGAGCAACAGGCACTAAGAATGTCTTCTGGCAGAGCAACAGGCACTAAGAATGTCTTCTGGCAGAGCAACAGGCACTAAGAATGTCTTCTGGCAGAGCAACAGGCACTAAGAATGTCTTCTGGCAGAGCTACAGGCACTAAGAATTTCTTCTGGCAGAGCTACAGGCACTAAGAATTTCTTCTGGCAGAGCTACAGGCACTAAGAATTTCTTCTGGCAAAGTTACAGGCACTAAGAATGTCTTCTGACAGAGCTACAGGCACTAAGAATGTCTTCTGACAGAGCTACAGGCACTAAGAATGTCTTCTGGCAGAGCTACAGGCACTAAGAATGTCTTCTGGCAGAGAAACAGGCACTAAGAATGTCTTCAGGCAGAGCAACAGGCACGAAGAATGTCTTCTGGCAGAGCTACAGGCACTAAGAATGTCTTCTGGCAGAGAAACAGGCACTAAGAATGTCTTCTGGCAGAGCTACAGGCACTAAGAATGTCTTCTGGCAGAGCAACAGGCACTAAGAATGTCTTCTGGCAGAGCAACAGGCACTAAGAATGTCTTCTGGCAGAGCAACAGGCACTAAGAATGTCTTCTGGCAAAGTTACAGGCACTAAGAATTTCTTCTGGCAGAGCTACAGGCACTAAGAATGTCTTCTGGCAGAGAAACAGGTACTAAGAATGTCTTCTGGCAAAGTTACAGGCACTAAGAATGTCTTCTGACAGAGCTACAGGCACTAAGAATGTCTTCTGGCAAAGTTACAGGCACTAAGAATGTCTTCTGACAGAGCTACAGGCACTAAGAATGTCTTCTGGCAAAGTTGCAGGCACTAAGAATGTCTTCTGACAGAGCTACAGGCACTAAGAATGTCTTCTGGCAAAGTTACAGGCACTAAGAATGTCTTCTGACAGAGCTACAGGCAATAAGAATGTCTTCTGACAGAGCAACAGGCACGAAGAATGTCTTCTGGCAGAGCAACAGGCACGAAGAATGTCTTCTGACAGAGCAACAGGCACTAAGAACGTCTTTCCTGTATAGGAAAGAATTGGTTTGGAAATAGAGTAGTTGACGAGTGGAACAGTCTTCCTAGTAAGGTTTTTGAAGCTAAAACCTTTGGCAGCTTCTAATTTAGGTTACATAAATACGTAACTGAGAGGGATTGGATTTGAGTGGGACTTGCACGTGAGTTGAGAGGGTTATCAAATATTATTGCCTGGGTAACATTGAAAATGGGTTGGGCATATATTTTTATTAGTGGGTTTGGGTTTGAGACAGACTTGCCAAGTGTGGGCCAGTAGGCCTGTTGCAGTGTTCCTCCTTTTTTATGTTCTTATGTTTAATTGTACATCAAGAGTTCAGTCTCAGACTTTTAATCAATATATGTCAGACTTTTAATCAGTATGTGTCAGACTTTTAATCAATATGTGTCAGACTTTTAATCAATATGTGCCAAGCTTTTAGTGAATATGTGTCAGACTTTTAATCAGTATGTGTCAGACTTTTAATCAATATGTGCCAAGCTTTTAGTGAATATGTGTCAGACTTTTAATCAATATGTGTCAGACTTTTAATCAATATGTATCAGACTTTTAATCAATAAGCGTAAAACTTTTACTCAGTATGTGCCAGACTTTTAATCAATATGTGCCAGACTTTTAATCAATATGTGTCAGACTTTTAATCAATATGTGTCAGACTTTTAATCAATATGTGTCAGACTTTTAATCAATATGTCCCAAGCTTTTAATCAATATATGTCAGACTTTTAATCAATATATGTCAGATTTTAATTAATATATGTCAGACTTTTAATCAATATGTGCCAGATTTTAATCAATATATGTCAGACTTTTAATCAGTATGTGTCAGACTTTTAATCAATATGTGTCAGACTTTTAATCAATATGTGCCAAGCTTTTAGTGAATATGTGTCAGACTTTTAATCAGTATGTGTCAGACTTTTAATCAATATGTGCCAAGCTTTTAGTGAATATGTGTCAGACTTTTAATCAATATGTGTCAGACTTTTAATCAATATGTATCAGACTTTTAATCAATAAGCGTAAAACTTTTACTCAGTATGTGCCAGACTTTTAATCAATATGTGCCAGACTTTTAATCAATATGTGTCAGACTTTTAATCAATATGTGTCAGACTTTTAATCAATATGTGTCAGACTTTTAATCAATATGTCCCAAGCTTTTAATCAATATATGTCAGACTTTTAATCAATATATGTCAGATTTTAATTAATATATGTCAGACTTTTAATCAATATGTGTCAGACTTTTAATCAATATGTGTCAGACTTTTAATCAATATATGTCAGACTTTTAATCAATATATGTCAGACTTTTAATTAATATATGTCAAACTTTTAATCAATATGTGTCAGACTTTTAATCAATATGTGTCAGACTTTTAATCAATATGTGCCAAGCTTTTAATGAATATGTGTCAGACTTTTAATCAATATGTGCCAGACTTTTAATCAATATATGTCAGACTTTTAATCAATATGTGTCAGACTTTTAATCAATATATGTCAGACTTTTAATCAATATATGTCAGACTTTTAATGAATATATGTCAAACTTTTAATCAATATGTGTCAGACTTTTAATCAATATGTGTCAGACTTTTAATCAATATGTGCCAAGCTTTTAATGAATATGTGTCAGACTTTTAATCAATATGTGCCAGACTTTTAATCAATATGTGTCAGACTTTTAATCAATATGTGTCAGACTTTTAATCAATATGTGTCAGACTTTTAATCAATATGTGCCAAGCTTTTAATCAATATGTGTCAGACTTTTAATCAATATGTGCCAAGCTTTTAATCAATATGTGTCAGACTTTTAATCAATATGTGCCAAGCTTTTAATCAATATGTGCCAGACTTTTAATCAATATATGTCAGACTTTTAATCAATATGTGTCAGACTTTTAATCAATATGTGTCAGACTTTTAATCAATATGTGCCAAGCTTTTAATCAATATGTGTCAGACTTTTAATCAATATGTATCAGACTTTTAATCAATATATGTCAGACTTTTAATCAATATGTGTCAGACTTTTAATCAATATATGTCAGACTTTTAATCAATGTGTGTCAGACTTTTAATCAATATGTGTCAGACTTTTAATCAATATATGTCAGACTTTTAATCAATATGTGTCAGACTTTTAATCAATATATGTCAGACTTTTAATCAATATGTGTCAGACTTTTAATCAATATGTGTCAGACTTTTAACTGCTACGACAAACATATATTTATAAATGTTTGGAGATTACTAATAATTCTATACTACTGAGGCAAAATTGTTCCCAGACAAACTGTGTCATTGTTTTCAACAAATTAAACCAAAAAAATAAATAATACCAAGAAAAGAAACAATGAAAGAAGTATATATTACGAGAGGAAGGCGGTATAAGGTCACAACGAATAAAAGAGAGAATAAAGAGAGGCGGTGCGATAGGTGAGAACTGGAAACTGAGAAGATACAATAGGCTCACAGGGATGTTAGGAAGTATATCTTTAGTGTCAGGGTGATACAGAAGTGGAGTGAGTTCATGAGGAGGTAGTATACCTGGAGTATACCTGGAGTATACCTGGAGTATACCTGGAGAGGGTATAGGGGGTCAACGCCTCTGCGGCCCGGTCTGTGACCAGGCCTCTGAAGAATTCCTGTATCCACAGCGAGCATGTATGATAAAACGCAGGAGGTTAAAATCATATAGATATAGGCAGGGGTCAGGAGCTGTGTCTAGACCTCGGCAAGCAGATCTTGTCGAGTTAAACATGTTCAAGTTTGACTCACGGGTGAGGCTTGAACTGAAGGCGAGTGAGTCTTATAACTCACAGGTACAGTGGTTAACGCACTGGCCTGCGAGTTTTAGGGACTTGTCGTGGGTTCAACTCCCATTCGTTCCATGGTTTTTATGCACACATTTCCCTACTTGGTTCTTGCACATGTTGTGTCAGTAACTGTTCTCCCTTCCCTATAACCCTTATTCTCCTACATACCTTCACTAACAACCTACACTCCCTTCCCTAACAACCTACACTCCCTTCCCTAACAACCTACACTCACTTCCCTAACAACCTACACTCCCTTCCCTAACAGCTTACACTCCCTTCCCTAACAACAACCTACACTCCCTTCCCTAACAGCTTACACTCCCTTCCCTAACAGCTTACACCCCCTTCCCTAGCAACCTCCACTCCCTTCCCTAACAGCTTACACTCCCTTCCCTAACAACCTACACCCCTTTCCTAGACAGCTTACACTCCTTTCCCTAACAGCATACACTCCCTTCCCTAACAACCGAAACTCCTTTCCCTAGGAGCATACACTCCCTTCCCTAACAGCTTACACCCATTTCCCTAATAGCTTACGCCCCCTTCCGTAACAGCTTACACCCCCTTCCGTAACAGCTTACACTTCCTTAACATCCTACATCCCCATTCCCTAACAGCCTACTCCATCTTCCCTCGACCCACACCACATCCCATTCCGACTCACACTCCCCGTACCTCACTAACACAACCCCCACCACCACCACCACTACCACCACCACCATCACCCACTCCCTCTCTCCACCACCACCCACTCCCACACTCCACTACCACCCACACCTCACCAAAACTCACCAGGCAGTGACTTGTCAATATAGTAGGAGATGGCTTGAAGCTTCTCAGTGCGACCCACCACTGCCAAGTCTCCGCCCAGCTTGACGCACTCCGCCCTCGCCTCCGCCCACTTCAGCGGCAGCCCACTTCCCTCAGGCGGGGCGGTCACCTTCACATGTATACAAAACTCGTCCTGGAGACGCTCGAACGGCGGCTGACATTCTGGAGGATGAAGGAAGGGTGAGGTTGATGATCTAGGACCAGACCCTCGCTAGGACCTGGTCTATGACCCAACTGCAATAGAAATATGTATAGAAATATGTTCAGACATACAAAAATATATATAGACATATACAAAAATACATATCAATATTTACAATGATCTAAACAGACATGTATAACCAGACCTCAGCCACTGACTGACTCACAGACTGCCATGGTGACTGCACAGACTTTTGCTAATAGCTAATAGCTTAGTGTACACAAATAACCCGCACATAAAAGAGAGAAGCTTACGACGACGTTTCGGTCCGACTTGGACCATTGACAAAGTCACAATGTGACTTTGTCAATGGTCCAAGTCGGACCGAAACGTCGTCGTAAGCTTCTCTCTTTTATGTGCGGGTTATTTGTGTATCGTTCCAGTCACGGTATTGTGCCTGTTTTGTTATTTAGCTTAGTGTACATCTATGTGACGCCCAGTACCTGCATACACATGTTAGGTACGGAACAAGTGCCTGTAACTACATCATACAACTATACGTATATTTTATTGGAGACAAAGCAATTCGATCTTTCCTTATATCTTGACACGATTCCGATAGTCACTTGTAACTCAGAACCAGCACGACTAGAAAGATTTGCTTGTTTTCGGCTCCACCTGTGTGCACTTGTCTTCTTGACCTCCGTGTGCACGTGTTCACCATCACCCCCGTGTGCACGTGTTCACCATCACCCCCGTGTGCACGTGCTCACCATCACCCGCGTGTGAACGTGTTCACCATCCACCCGTGTGCACGTGTTCACCATCACCCCCGTGTGCACGTGTTCACCATCCTCCCGTGTGCACGTGTTCACCATCACCCCCGTGTGCACGTGTTCACCATCACCCACGTGTGCACGTATTCACCATCACCCCCGTGTGCACGTGTTCACCATCACCCCGTGTGCACGTGTTCACCATCACCCCCGTGTGCACGTATTCACCATCACCCCCGTGTGCACGTATTCACCATCACCCCCGTGTGCACGTGTTCACCATCACCCCCGTGTGCACGTGTTCACCATCACCCCCGTGTGCACGTGTTCACCATCCCCCCGTGTGCACGTGTTCACCATCACCCCCGTGTGCACGTGTTCACCATCACCCCCGTGTGCACGTGTTCACCATCACCCCCGTGTGCACGTATTCACCATCACCCCCGTGTGCACGTGTTCACCATCACCACCGTGTGCACGTGTTCACCATCACCCCCGTGTGCACGTGTTCACCATCGCCCCGTGTGCAACGTGTTCACCATCATCCCCGTGTGCACGTGTTCACCATCATCCCCGTGTGCACGTGTTCACCATCACCCCCGTGTGCACGTGTTCACCATCACCCCCGTGTGCACGTATTCACCATCACCCCCGTGTGCACGTGTTCACCATCACCACCGTGTGCACGTGTTCACCATCACCCCCGTGTGCACGTGTTCACCATCACCCACGTGTGCACGTATTCACCATCACCCCCGTGTGCACGTATTCACCATCACCCCCGTGTGCACGTGTTCACCATCACCCCCGTGTTTTCATCAGCCAATCTCGGATTTTTTTTGGGGGGGACAAATAACTAGCCAACAAAATGGAATTTTTAATCCAGTTCACAAACCAAATTGGTTGATTTAAGGTAACTTTGATGAGCTGGTCAAGAATCTAACCTTGGTTAGTCTCTAGGACGCAATTTTGAAATGTTATTATACAATAATTTGGTTACTGGAGGTTGAGGAATTATTATTATTATTATTATTATAATCAAGGGGGAAGCGCTAAACCCGGAGGATTATACAGCAGGTTGAGGAACCACATGATACACGTTACCTACACAATCAAAGACATTATATTATACAGAGAGATTAAATGTGGTTCACGCAACGACAGAAGCTAATCTCCTTTAAATTTATCAGGTGTACAGTCGTACTGGCCAGGTTGTGGCAGCCACCACCAAAATTCTTTCCACCCCCTCAAGGAAGGTTCCTTGATGTTGTTGAGGGGCTCTTGATTTAGGGAATTGATATCTGTGCTCCAGTTCCCCGAATTAAGCCTGAATGCCTTCCACATCCCCCCCCCCAGGCGCTGTATAATCCTCCGGGTTTAGCGCTTCCCCCTTGATTATAATAATAATTTAAATTTATCATATATATGGTACAACACTGAGTTTAGATGTAATTCGAGCGTCCCAAAACTACATAGAAACACTTGTTGTTAAACCACGACTGCAACCATTGTTGGCCAGCGTCATTAATCTAATATTTGTCCCTCTGCAAGTACTGAGACCCACACTTATTGTTGCAATGGCAGTTTTAAATATAAATAAATTTAAAAGATAAGTAAAAATGATCACATGGCGATGGTGCAAGATAATGAGTTTGATGAATAAAAACTCTGGAAGCACCAGCGTGTGGAGGTCACCTTCACTCCGGTTCCTGAATACACACAGCAGGACTGACTGGTGTTAGTTACCTCCCATGTTAACATCACCGCTGCAAGTAAATAATGTTTTTTTTTTAAGTTGTTAGGGAATGGAACTTAAAATCGTTACATTGTGAACTTTGTGAAGTTGTAAGCTACTGCTGGTGAGTGATGTAGAGAACGTAGTGAGGACAGACGGCATGGCGGTGATAATATAGGGAGGTACTAGACGTGGTGGTGATAATATAGGGAGGTACTAGACGTGGTGGTGATAATATAGGGAGGTACTAGACGTGGTGGTGATAATATAGGGAGGTACTAGACGTGGCGGTGATAATATAGGGAGGTACTAGACGTGGTGGTGATAATATAGGGAGGTACTAGACGTGGTGGTGATAATATAGGGAGGATACTAGACGTGGTGGTGATAATATAGGGAGGTACTAGACGTGGCGGTGATAATATAGGGAGGTACTAGACGTGGTGGTGATAATATAGGGAGGTACTAGACGTGGTGGTGATAATATAGGGAGGTACTAGACGTGGTGGTGATAATATAGGGAGGTACTAGACGTGGTGGTGATAATATAGGGAGGTACTAGACGTGGTGGTGATAATATAGGGAGGTACTAGACGTGGTGGTGATAATATAGGGAGGTACTAGACGTGGTGGTGATAATATAGGGAGGTACTAGACGTAGCGGTGATAATATAGGGAGGTACTAGACGTGGCGGTGATAATATAGGAGGTACTAGACGTGGTGGTGATAATATAGGGAGGTACTAGACGTGGTGGTGATAATATAGGGAGGTACTAGACGTGGTGGTGATAATATAGGGAGGTACTAGACGTGGCGGTGATAATATAGGGAGGTACTAGACGTGGTGGTGATAATATAGGGAGGTACTAGACGTGGTGGTGATAATATAGGGAGGTACTAGACGTGGTGGTGATAATATAGGGAGGTACTAGACGTGGTGGTGATAATATAGGGAGGTACTAGACGTAGCGGTGATAATATAGGGAGGTACTAGACGTGGCGGTGATAATATAGGGAGGTACTAGACGTGGTGGTGATAATATAGGGAGGTACTAGACGTGGTGGTGATAATATAGGGAGGTACTAGACGTGGTGGTGATAATATAGGGAGGTACTAGACGTGGCGGTGATAATATAGGGAGGTACTAGACGTGGTGGTGATAATATAGGGAGGTACTAGACGTGGTGGTGATAATATAGGGAGGTACTAGACGTGGTGGTGATAATATAGGGAGGTACTAGACGTGGTGGTGATAATATAGGGAGGTACTAGACGTAGCGGTGATAATATAGGGAGGTACTAGACGTGGCGGTGATAATATAGGGAGGTACTAGACGTGGTGGTGATAATATAGGGAGGTACTAACGTGGTGGTGATAATATAGGGAGGTACTAGACGTGGTGGTGATAATATAGGGAGGTACTAGACGTGGCGGTGATAATATAGGGAGGTACTAGACGTGGTGGTGATAATATAGGGAGGTACTAGACGTGGTGGTGATAATATAGGGAGGTACTAGACGTGGTGGTGATAATATAGGGAGGTACTAGACGTGGTGGTGATAATATAGGGAGGTACTAGACGTGGTGGTGATAATATAGGGAGGTACTAGACGTGGTGGTGATAATATAGGGAGGTACTAGACGTGGTGGTGATAATATAGGGGGGTACTAGACGTAGCGGTGATAATATAGGGAGGTACTAGACGTGGCGGTGATAATATAGGGAGGTACTAGACGTGGTGGTGATAATATAGGGAGGTACTAGACGTGGTGGTGATAATGTAGTGAGGTAATGAACGTGGTGGTGATAATGCAGGAGGTAGAGGATGAGCTGAGGTGTACAAGCAAGGAGAGAAATACAAGTCAATCAATTTCTCTTACTGCTGGATGCCCAGGCAGGGGATGTCAATACCCCGAAGAGCAGCAGCAGATGCTGTGGTACCATCTTCACTAGTAGAGCCGAGATAAGTAGCAGCAGCAGTAGCAACAACACCAGCAGCAACAACAACAGCAGAAGCAGCAGCAGCAGCAGGAGCAGCAGACAGATCACCTTCTCACCGTCTAAGACTCTCTGGTAGAACGAGATCCGTCTCACGAGTTATATAGTCCAGCACCCTCGTTGTTGTCAGAGATTTGGGGGACATCGGGAGTGAATAAGAAGTAGAAACGGAGGAGGTGGGGACTGAGCAAGAAGTGGGGATAGAGGAGGGAGGGGACTGAGGGGTGAAAGTGGGGGGCAGGTGAGGTGATGGTGGTTTAGGAAAGAAGAACAAGATTGTTGTGCAACCTTTGGGACTCTTGCACATTGCTTCTCTGTACCGGACTGAAGAAGCTGTTGGCTGGAGACGTAATTAAGATTCTCAAATATTGCACTTGTCGCTTTATTAAATCATTTATATCAAAGATGTAAGAATGAAGGTGTAGTGATGGAAAAGAAGTGGAAATGGAGGAGCTGTGGGGATGGTAATTATGTGGCGCTGAAGGAGGTGTAGGGATGGAAGAGGCGTCGGGGGGATGGAGTTGAGAGGGAGTAGGAATGGAGGTCATCCCCCAACATAAACATCTCTCTGTAAGATGACATCAACACAACACAACACAACACAACACTGGTTGATGTCAACACCACCTTGACGCCACCTACAGGGGAAACAGCTCTCAATAAGGTGACATCAACACAACACTGGTTGATGTCAACACCACCTTGACGCCACCTACAGGGGAAACAGCTCTCAATAAGGTGACATCAACACAACACTGGTTGATGTCAACACCACCTTGACGCCACCTACAGGGGAAACAGCTCTCAATAAGGTGACATCAACACAACACTGGTTGATGTCAGCACCACCTTGACGCCACCTACAGGGGAAACAGCTCTCAATAAGGTGACATCAACACAACACTGGTTGATGTCAACACCACCTTGACGCCACCTACAGGGGAAACAGCTCTCAATAAGGTGACATCAACACAACACTGGTTGATGTCAACACCACCTTGACGCCACCTACAGGGGAAACAGCTTCAAAATAAGGTGACCATAACACAACACTGGTTGATGTCCAACACCACCCCTGACGCACCTCGTGGAAACAGTCTCAATAAGGTGACATCACACAACACTGGTTGATGTCAACACCCACGTCACGTCACGTTCAGAGAGAAAAAACAGTTGATGCAAAAACTAGGAGGACCATATGTTATATTTTCCTAAAGTGTAAGTCCAAGCACCCCCCCCGTGACCTCGCTGGTCACGCTAGGTCACACAAGGTCACAGGCACTAGTTCAGGTCACGCTAGGTACAGGCACTAGCTCAGGTCACACAAGGTCACAGACACCAGCTCAAGACACACAAGATCACAGACATCAGCTCAGGTCACACAAGGTCACAGGCACTAGTTCAGGTCACGCTAGGTACAGGCACTAGCTCAGGTCACACAAGGTCACAGACACCAGCTCAAGACACACAAGATCACAGACATCAGCTCAGGTCACACAAGGTCACAGGCACTAGTTCAGGTCACGCTAGGTACAGGCACTAGCTCAGGTCACACAAGGTCACAGACACCAGCTCAAGACACACAAGATCACAGACATCAGCTCAGGTCACACAAGGTCACAGGCACTAGTTCAGGTCACGCTAGGTACAGGCACTAGCTCAGGTCACACAAGGTCACAGACACCAGCTCAAGACACACAAGATCACAGACATCAGCTCAGGTCACACAAGGTCACAGGCACTAGTTCAGGTCACGCTAGGTACAGGCACTAGCTCAGGTCACACAAGGTCACAGACACCAGCTCAAGACACACAAGATCACAGACATCAGCTCAGGTCACACAAGGTCACAGGCACTAGTTCAGGTCACACTAGGTACAGGCACTAGCTCAGGTCACACAAGGTCACAGACACCAGCTCAAGACACACAAGATCACAGACATCAGCTCAGGTCACACAAGGTCACAGGCACTAGTTCAGGTCACGCTAGGTACAGGCACTAGCTCAGGTCACACAAGGTCACAGACACCAGCTCAAGACACACAAGATCACAGACATCAGCTCAGGTCACACAAGGTCACAGGCACTAGTTCAGGTCACGCTAGGTACAGGCACTAGCTCAGGTCACACAAGGTCACAGACACCAGCTCAAGACACACAAGATCACAGACATCAGCTCAGGTCATACAAGGTCACAGGCACTAGTTCAGGTCACGCTAGGTACAGGCACTAGCTCAGGTCACACAAGGTCACAGACACCAGCTCAAGACACACAAGATCACAGACATCAGCTCAGGTCATACAAGGTCACAGGCACTAGTTCAGGTCACGCTAGGTACAGGCACTAGCTCAGGTCACACAAGGTCACAGACACCAGCTCAAGACACACAAGATCACAGACATCAGCTCAGGTCACACAAGGTCAATTGCACCAGCTCACACACAAGGTCACAGGTACTAGCTTAGGTCACACAAGGTCACAAGCACCAGCTCAGGTCACACAAGGTTACAAGCACCGGTTCAAGTTACACTAGTCCACAAGCACTAACTCAGGTCAAACTAGGTCACAGACACTAACTCAAGTCACACTAGGTCACGGGCACAAGCTCAAGTCACACTAGGTCACAAACACCAGCTCAAGTCACACTAGGTCACAGACACCTGCTCAAGTTACACTAGGTCACAGACACTAACTCAAGTCACACTAGGTCACAGGAACCAGCTCAAGTCACACTAGGTCACAGGCACCAGCTCAAGTCAAACTCGGTCACAGACACTAACTCAAGTCACACTAGGTCACGGGCACACGCTCAAGTCACACTAAGTCACAAGCACCAGCTCAAGTCCCACTAGGTCACAAACACCAGCTCAAGTCACACTAGGTCACAGACACCTGCTCAAGTTACACTAGGTCACAAACACCAGCTCAAGTGACACTAGGTCACAAACACCAGCTCAAGTCACACTAGGTCACAGACACTAACTCAAGTCACACTAGGTCACAAGCACCAGCTCAAGTTACACTAGGTCACAGGAAACAGCTTAAGTCACGAAAGATCACAGACACCAGCTCAAGTCACACTAGGTCACAAGCACCAGCTCAGGTCATGAGCCCTAGCTGAGATCACATAAGCTCAAAGACTTCAGCTCAGGTCACACTAGGTCACAGGCACCAGCTCAAGTCACACAAGTCCACAAACACCAGCTAAAGGCGTACAAGGTCACATACACCAGCTCAGGTCACACAAGGTCACAGATACCAGTTCAGGTCACACAAGGCCACAGACACAAGTTCAGGTCACACAAGATCAGATACACCAGCTCATGTCGAACAAGGTCACAAGCATTAACTCGTCACAAAAAGTCACAAGCACCAGCTCAGGTCACACTAAGTCACAGACACTAGCTCAGGTCTTACAAAGTCACAGGCATAAATTCAAGTCACACAGGTCAAAGGCACTAGCTCAGGTCACACAAGGTCACAGACACCAACTCAGGTCACACAAGGTCAAAGGCACCAGCTCAGGTCACACAAGGTCACATGGGGTGCTAGATTACTATTTTTATATCAAATTGCTCAGTTAACCCGTACGGTTCATGACAGCGCCTGGGGAATGGAAGGTGACCAGATTTGATTCGAGATAGAGTATTTAGATCCACTTCCTCGCATCAGAAGCCTCTCAGCAGCTTCTACACATCCCCCACCATGAGTCTCTCAGAGGAAGGGAGGCGGGGGAGGTGCAGACCGGTTCCTGTCAACTAATGTATGAGAATTATCAGAGTTTAAGGCAATAACGGGATTCTCGTTACTTAAGAGGGGATACCAAGTCATCCCACGTGATAACAGGCGTCACAAGAACATAATAACATGAACAAGGACCCTTTGGGCCCCCTGAAATATATCTGTCACCTGTGGGATGTCTGGGATGTTCAAAGCACAGGTTGACGCTCTGGAATGTTCACTGAACCAAAGGTGGGGGAGGAGACAAAGGAAGTGAGAGAGAGAGAGAGAGAGAGAAAAAAAAAGAGCATCTTGATGAAGTGGGAGAAGGGCAGTATAAAAGTCAGTGTTGGGGATCCTGTGTCTCACACCAGTGTTAAGACTTGGTCACTGTTGTGTCTGTCTCAACCTCCCGTGGGCGGTTCTACAACGTCTACCTGCTGTGGGCGTGGTTAAAGCCACCATCTGTGGACGTGTGTTTGGAGTGGGTTGAGCTGCATTCTGCGGGCGTGGTTTAGAGCTGGTTTAGTTGGTGTGTGTGGCAGTGGTGGAGCTCAAGATGAACCTGCTGTGTGTGTCCCTGCTGGTGCTGGTGGCAGTGATAACTGGTACCCTTGGTGAGTACATTCTGCAATACTCCAGCACCAACAGCCTCATTGGTCACAGACCAGGCTGCCGTCAGCAGACTGAGGATCGAGTCCTCACCACTCAAGATGCGTAATGGCTCACACGGGTTTATCTCTTCACAAAAATAAAAGATTATTTATAAACAGAGACCAGAGGTCCTTATGGTTTTCTGGAGTAAAATCTTGTAGGGCATTTTTGTAAACAATTCCTGTAGATAAGCAGGAGTCAGTCACTCGGCGGCCCGGTTCCAGAACAAGAATTCTAATTAACAGCCTGATCAATCAGGTTGTTGGTGCCAGCAGCAAGCAGCCTAACGTAGGCACCACAGCATGGCTGATCAGGAACTATCGATGAAAACTTTACAGGTTCCCTTTCCGAGTCAGCTAGGGGTCTTTAAAAGTAGGGGTCTTGAAGACGGATACAAATCTTTAAAAAACTAAGGGTCTTAAAAATAGCTAGGGGGTCTTAAAGACAGCTTGGGGTTCTAAAAGAGAGTTTTAAAACACTCTGGGGTTTGAAGACAGCTAGAGTCTTTAGAAAACTAGGGGTTTTGAAGAAAGCTAGGGGGGGGGGTCTTCAAGAAAGTTAGAGGTCGGATCGTAATTTCCTTATGCAGGAAGGGAAGATGTTTAAGAGTTTTGGTTCCTGTACACTTACTGGGTTACCTCTTAGTGTACTAACTGCAACGCTGCTTTTCGTAGGGAGTGACTTCTATAAGTAAATTTGGGACTAAGCTCTCCCAGGTGTAAATTATGATATATCTTTCACAAATACGTTCCTTAAAGTACATTACAAGGGACTCAAATTTAGGTGTTTAACTTAATTATTATGTTGAGAGAAGTTTCCTGTATATTCTCCAGGTACAATACCTGAGTTTTTAGAATGTATTTCATATAAATTTTAAACAATATCCCCACAGTTTCCCTCATATATATTTCGTATTTCTGGTATTTTATAGCAAAAATATGCAAAAGAACCAGTTGTGGTTGGACATTGTTATTGTTGTAGAAATGAACGTCTCCAGCGACTTTTGACGACATTGTTGACGTTGGAGATACGAACGCCTCCAGCGGCCTTCAAAAACAGTGTCCTAATTGGAGATACAAACGTTTCCAGCGACCTCTTATGACTTGACAGTGGAGACACGAATACTTCCATAGATTTTTGACGACTTTGTTAATAATGGAGACATGAACACCAACGACCTTCTGGTGACATTATTAACAGAGGAGCCATGAGCGTCTCCAGCGATCTTCGATAACAAGACTGATACTGAGACATAAACACGTTTAATTACATTTGACGAGAATGTAGACACGAACGTCGTAAGTGATTAAATTGAATCTATCTTTTACCCGTCTCAGGCTGCCCTAGCGACTTCCTGGGGATAAGCAGTTCGTGTGTGAAGGTGGTGATAGCTGCCGGTATTGGTGAGAGACCAGTGTCATGGAAGGTGGCCAGGGAAGGATGCAAGGCACTCGGGGCAGATCTGGCAGTCATGAACGTATCCAGCAAAGTTGAGCATATCTCTGCACACATTGACAAGGTGTTTCCTAGTAAGTAGTGTTCCAGTTATTATTATTATTATTATTATTATTATTATTATTATTATTATTATTATTATTATTATTATTATTATTATTATTATTATTATTATTGTTATTATTATTATTATTAATTTTTACGTAAGTGGTAAACCGGGAGTTTTAGAGTATCTGGGATTGGGATGTAAACAGTAAGGGAGAAGAGTCAGATGGGTTTATTTTGGCACCATTAAGAACAACTCTTGCCAGTGAAAAGCTCTATATCTTAGAAATATAGAGCCCTTCATCTGCTCTGGCCTCATTACTTCCCATCCCCCAGATGAGGCATAACTTCCTAGAGATTTAAGTACACACACAATATAAATATATATTATATTTATATATATATATATATATATATATATATATATATATATATATATATATATTATATATATATATATATATATATATATAGGTAGGTAGGTAAAACTAGTCAATTAGCAAGAATATTAAAATTAAGGCCTTTAAGATTTTCTTTCATACGTTTATAGAAATGTTTTTATTGGTGTTAATGTAAAAAATTAAAAATTTTGTCCCAAAAAGAACCTTAGAAAATTTAAATAACCTTTTTAAAAAACAACGCTTTTTAAATTTTACCCCAAACCCCAACTTATATATTTTAAAATAATTTAATAGTACAAAAACCCACAATCAAATTTTTTTTTTTTTTTAAGTTCAAATGATTTCTGCGAAATTATTGCATACAAAAAATTTTGGGTTTGCCTTATTGGGCAAGCATAGCTTTGTTATTTGGGGCCAAAAATCTCAAGTTTACCTTCTCGGCACGATTTTTATATTTTTATTTTTTAATATATATATATTTTAATATATATAAATAATTTTTATATTATATATATATATATATATAATATTTTTATATATATATATATATATATTATATATATAAAATATATTATATATTTTAAATATATAAATAATATATATATATATATAATAATATTTATATTTTAAAAATTTTATATATATATTTTATAATTTATATAAAAATATATTATAATATATATATAATACATATATATATTTATATATAAAAATATAAAATATATATCTATTTATTTAAAAAAAAATATTAATACATAAAATATATTTAAATATATATATAAAAATTATATATATATATTTTATTTATTATATATTTTTATATATATATTTAATATCCCCCATACATATAATATATATATTAATATATATATAAAATATAATATATATACATAAAATATATATAATATTTAAATTTATATATTTTAAATAAAATATTTTAATATATTTTATATATAAATATATTTTTTGTATATATATATTAATATATATATATATTTTTTAAAATTATATATAATATATAAATATACATACATATTTTTTATAATATAAATAATATTATATATATATATATATATATATATATATCCAGCCAAAATTGGGGAAAACCCAGTGAACTAGCTCTAGGCCTTTCGCACTGCAAGCATTCGTCTTCAGGAGTAAACAATGTTACAATACGTAAGTAGAGTGAATGCCCGAGTGAGAGAAGGGACGGAAAGGTTTGGGAACAGGGTTCATCTTCACTCAGAGAGATGGCCCAGGGGCCACCACCCCCTCCACCACCACCTTCTTACCCCTGTGTTTACCTGGGGGGAGAGAGGGAAAAGAGGGAGTAGTGCAAGTCGTAAAAAACTATTTAAACATACTGAAAGAACAAGGAATAAAAAGTTACCCCACTTCCAAAAATATTGATGAACATTTAAATCTAGGGGCCCCGGGTCCTAAGTGTTCAATTTCCCGGGTCTAAAGACAATTTGTTCCTTTGGGAACACTTACACTTTTAAAATACGACAAAAAAATATGCCAAAAAAACTCTTAATTTACAATTATTTAAACCAGGAGCCCCAAAAAGGCCCTTTTATCCGGGGGGAAAAAGGGGAGCAAAAAAAAACACAGCAGAAAAATTTTTTGCTTGCATTATCCTTAAACCAAATTTTTAGAACAAAAGTATGTACATTTTAAACTATTACAAAATGGGTATTAGTGAACCCCACGGTAAGCAAGGAGAATAAAAAGCCACTAGAGAGCAGACCGTGCTTCAACCAGCTCTAAAATTTTGGGGAATAAAAAGGGCGGGAAAGGTGGGGTGGTACCCCCCAAACCCACAACACCTCTCGGGATTGCCAAAACCATTTTTCCATTGGCGGGAAACCGGGGTACTGGTTAAAGGGGACGGGGGCCCCCATCATAAAACCCTTAGTACCGGTTCGCGGGTTGGGGGGGAGTTTCCCCTTTAAATGAGGGTGTGACATGCGTCGAAAAAAGGGTTTACGTACTGTTTGAAATGCCACAAAAAAAAAACCCCAGAAAGTTTTACGGACAGAAACAACCTCCCGGAGATGGAACTTTAACCCCCCTTTGGGAAACCAGTTTTAAACTCCCGAAAAAAAAAATTTAAATCCTCATTTTAAATTTTTTTTAAAAAACTGTATTTAAAACCCATATATATCTAATTTCAATATTGCATATTCCCGGGGGGGGGAAAAAAAAAAAAGGGCCATTTCAAAAATATTTTTAAAAAAAAAATATATATATAAAAAAAAAAAAAATTTTTTTTTTTTTTTATAAAATTTTTTTTATATAAAAAGGGGGGGGGAGACAGCAACCACCCCGGGAAAATACCCCCCCCGGTTTTTAAAAAAAAATTTTTTTGGGGGGTTGGTTTTTTTTTTTCCCCCCCAAAAACCCCCCCCAAAAAAATTTCCCCCTCATTTTGGGGGTTTTTTAAAAAACCCCCCCCCAAATTTTTTCTTTAAATTTTTTTTTTTTTAAAATTTTTTTTTTTCTTTTTTTTGGGGGTTAAAAAATTTTTTTCCCCCCCCCCCAAATTTTAAAAACCCTTTTTTTTTTTAAAAAAGGGGGCCCCCCCCCCCTTTTTTTTTTAAAAAGGGGGGGAAAAAAAAAAATTTTTTTCTTTGTTTGGGGGGGGGAAAAAAAAAAAAAAATTTTTTTTTTAAAAAAAATTTAAATTTCCCCCCAAAAAAAAAAAAAGGGGGGGAAAGGCCGGGGGGAAAAATGGGGTTAAAAAAATTTTTGGGAAAAAAAAAAGGGGGGGGGGAAAAAAAAAGGGGGGGGGAATAAAAAAAAAAGGGGTATTTTTTCAAAATTTTAAAAAAAAAAAGGGGGGAAAAAGCCCAAAAAAAAGGGGGGGAGAAAAGAGAATTTTGGGGAAAATTTTTTAAAAAAAATTTAAAAGGGGGGGGTGGGGGAAAAGGTTTAAAAGGGGGGGGGGAAAGGGGGGAAAAAAAAGGGGGGGGGGGGGAAAAAATGGGGGTTTTTTTTTGGGGGGAAAAATTTTTTTTAAGGGGGGAAAATTTTTTGAAGGGAAGGGGAAAAATTTTTTTGGGGGGAAAAGGGGAGGTTTGATGGGGGGAATTTGGGGATGGAAAAATGAAAGGGGGTGGGGGGGGGTTGGGGGGAAAGTAAAAATTTTCGGGGGGGGAAAGGGTTTTGGGGGGTTTGGTGTTTTTTTGAAGGGGGGGGGATGGGATTGGGAACGTTGTTTTTAAAAAAAAAGGGAAAAAGGGGAAAAAAGGGGGGGAAATTGTGGTGTCCGGGAAAGGTTTTGGTTTTTTAAAAAATTTGAGTGGGGGGGGTTTTTGAGTTTTAAGGGGTTTGGGAAAGGGAGGGGGGGGGGGTTTTCAAAATAAAATGAAAATTTGTCCCTTTTTTGGGTTTTTTGGGGGTTGAAAAGGGTAATAAGGTGGTGGGGGAATGTGGAATGTTCGTTATGGTGTAAATTTTTTTTTAAAAAAGGGGGGTTTTTTTTGGGGGCCCAATTTAAAATTTGGAAAAGGGGAAAAATTTTTTTCCCCATGTGCTTTAAAAGGGGGGTGTTCAGTTTTTTTATTTTAAAGGGGTTAAAGGAAATGGGGGTTTTGGGGCAAAGGGGAAAAAAAAAACCCCAAAAAAAGGGGGGTTGTGGTTTTTTTTCCACTTGTTTGGGGGTTTTTTAAAGGAAGTTGCGGAGGGATGTTTGGGGGGTGTGAAAGGGTTGGGAAATGGGGGGGGTTTTTTGGGGAAAAAAGTTGGGTGGGGGGGGTTCGAGGAGGGGGATGGGGGGGAAGCAGTTTTGGGGGGGGAGGGGGATGGTTTGGTTTTTGGGGTTAAAAATTTGTGGGGAAAAAAGTGGGGGGTTGGGGTGGGACAAAGAATTTGTTTGGGGAGGGAAGAAAAATTTTTCCAAAAATGGGGTGGGGGGTAAATGTTGGGAGGGGGGCGGGGCGTGGGGTTTGGGGGGAAGTGGGGGGGGTTGGGCGGGGTTTGGTTTGGAATGGGGGTGGGGAAAAGGGTTCCAAGGGGGGGGAAGGGGGTTGGGGGGTTTGGGGGGGGGATGGGAAACGTGGGTGTTACCCTGGGGAGGGGGGGGGGGGGTCCCGGGAGGGTTGGGGGGGGGGAAAAGGTTTTTTTGGGGGGGGGGGGCCAATTTTTTTGGGGGGTGGGAGGGGGAAAAAAATTTTTTTAATCTTGAGGCTTTGGGGGTTTTTAGAAGGTTCGGGAAACCCAGGCCGGACTGATTGAGTGGGGTAATGTGATTTTAATTTGTAGTTTAAAAACTTTGGAAAAAAACTTTAAAAAGGGGGGAAAGGGTTAAAGTTTTTCTTTTTGGGCCACCCTGCCTTGGTGGGAATCGGCCTGTGATAATAAAAAAAAAAATAAAAATTTTAAAAAATTTAAAAAAATTTATTGTATTTTCTACATTTCGTTTTTTGGAATTTTAAAAGGTTTACACTTTTTGGGGTTGGAGGAACAAAGGTCAACGGTCAGTGGAAGGGGGTAACTGACCAGACTTCAACCTCAAGTCAAACCAAGTTAATATCTAGGGCCCCTGTTTAAGACCTCATAACGCCGTTTTTTGACCTCAGAAAACACAATTAAACTCAGATACACATTTAAACCTCAGGCACATT